AAAATAACCAATTTCTGACTGAGAACTATTTTCTTGATTATATTAGCCNTTTCCGATGTGTTTTGGATATTCCTTCTCTAATAAAAAGAGATACCATTTTGTTTTCGTTTGCATAAGAAAGAATATCAAGCATTTTTCTTTTTTAAATTTAATTAGCCACAATAAAGAAGGAACGTTGCAATGCTACACGCTACATTAACGACGTCTCTAGAGTAACTGAATAACTGTTCATATAGAAATCGCAGTTATTAGTCTCACACAACAACGCCCCCTATAGTTCGTTGCGATCGCGAATACAGTAAAAAAAAACAAAATCTGGATGTCAGAAAAACTGATTAAGAAAGTGCAGCCTCTAAACTCTCATAAAAAAGATTCGCGTGCAGGTCGTCGGGCTACCGAAGCGGGGGTGCCATCCCCTCCGCAGAGGATCAGTATTGTGACGGCATATCTTCGGATCATCCTCCGGGATGCTCCCAGACCGTCGCCAATAGTCCATTGTGCAGCTCTAGTGCGACGTAAATTAACAACAACTCATAAAAAAGATTTAATTTTTTTATAAAGAGATTGATTTCTGAGAATTTATTTTTTATTACCCATTGGCAAAATCGGTCTTGGTATGGATTTGATAGCGTCATCACAGTTTTCAACTAAATAATCTAGAGCCCTTGAATTAGTATGAATTAACGAAATTGTGTACCGAGCAGTTCAGGATTAACAGTTAAAGATGTCCAAGATAAAAAGCACAATAAAGTTGCTTTTCTCAAAAAAAATTAGGCAACAATCGTTTTGCCAATGCATCACCTGTGCTTGCCGCAAGGTGATCACAATTTTTTTTTCTCTTGTGCTTGTTTTAACGTACGTGGTAAAATTTTTTGTAATTTCTCCATACGTTATTTTTATCGCAATTATTTTTTGAAGAATTGAATATTAATATTTTTTCTTTATATTTTAGAAATTAAGCAATATATTTTCTTTTTTCTCTATTTCAACTTTATTTTATAAATTATTTTTCTTTTTATGCTTTAGGCTAAGCACGTTTTCATCATATTTCTTTTTTAAACTCTTTTTTTAGTATTTCTTATCTTTATTACTTCATATTTTTACTATTGTTTAGTAGATAAGGCATATATCTGCAGTTAAGTATCACTCCCTTTGTCTTTATTACAAGTAACTATAATTTTGCGTGAAACCGACATTTGCGGAACTTATGGTCAATTCATTCAAAAACTCATGTTACCAAGATTAATACATGGCATGGTTTTTTCTTCTTCTTTTGTTAATAAAATCTACTACCTCTCATGAATTTAACGTGATGATTTAGGTTCCTTTATTTATATCTATTAGCGTTTATTTATTTTTTATTTTTAAATTTCTTTTAATTTATTTTATTTCTGCGATTTATTGCCCTATTTTTTATTTGTCTTTTATTTTTAAAGCTACGTTTTAAATATCACTTTTTAAAATGCGTCTCTTTTTTTAATTAAATGATGAGCTTTGTTTTAGTGTTTTATACTGGAAACCACTGTATTATAAACTTATAATTTATATTAAAAATAAATCATTGAAAAATGAAACATATAACTTAAAAGTAAAGGTGTTCAACTTATCAAGAAATGTTAGAAAATTTTCTTTATATATATAT